CGTAACGCGATGCTACACCCACTTCCACTGGCTCACTACAGCTGTTTCCTTGAGAAGATGGAAAGTGTGGCTGATTAGATGCCGACGTGTAATCGTCAGTGACACCACCAAGCGTTGACGAGTAAGGAATCTTGGCATATTTCACGACAGGTTCTAAAAAAAGGCTATGTAACGAGTAGAATAATAGGGCAAAGAGCGCGGTTGCTGGAGGCGGGGTTGTTGCCAGCATCATTGGTTGAAGGGCCTCGAGGGAGGTCACCCTCGCTCCGTCCTTCCACCAATAACGTTGGCGACATCCGCTCGCCCCAGCAATCGTGCCCACTACCTTTAAATAGGGGAACTAAAACAATGAAGACAGCTCTTCTACCTCGACTATTTACAACTTCAGGCCGAGATTCCTCTACCGGGGGTTGCTCAACCGCGCGAGGCGGAGAATTTTGATGCCTTGGCAGGGAGTGTGTTCGGAAATACTTTGTGCGATGCTTCGGAGGTGGAAGCGACTTTCCTCTGAGCACTTCCGCGTCTCGCTGAGCCTCTCGTGACAAACCATCAAAGAGCCGTGCTAGGTCACGTATTCTTCCTCGTGGAACATGCCTCCTAAAGAAAATTCGTTCTAAGGGATAATTCCCCGGTGTAAAGTCAAGATTCTGGGAAAACAATCCATTTCACCTTACTGTACTGCCACGGTTGCTTGTACGGCTTTCATTCGAACGCACATCAGGCTCTCTGTTTTCTCTGCAAGTGTCGATACTAGGAACCTGCCACTTATAAGGCGAGCCATCTGAAAGGGAAATTTCTCCGAAAATGTCAAATTTCAAACCCCCTTGTGTTCAAAGATAGAAGCATCGGAGAAACATAGTGATGGGACTCATATCTCCCATAGCAGTTTTTATTTAAAGAAAAACATAGAACCTCCTCGTTCGTTGCTAAATTTACGACGTTCCCATCCTCGGGATGTCGGACTCCATAACGAAGTTGGCGTTTTCACCTGAACTTTTTGCTTCATGCAAACAATTAATGTGTGAAGCTGGTTTTCACTATATCACGAGGATTTCGATTTTGAACCGACATCGAAAAACCTACGTTCATTGAAATACGCGCTCCACGTGTCGGCGTCGTATACAAGGCTTCTTTCGCAGCTGTAGAGACTCTCGGCACCGGGTCAGTCATCGACAGATCTTTAATATCAATCGGAGGTGGCAACTCAGTGTCGCTTTCAAGTGATTTCTTTCTTGGCGTTGATGGCAAGCGCGATTCAGCCACCACCTGAAGTTAGAAATGTCGTCCACGCCGGAGAAACCATTACGTGTTTTTGAAGACACATTGTATGAGAACTGGACCTTTGTGCGAGGAGGGCAATCTACTACAATAGAAGCTCTCATGACTCGATAATGCGTGACAATGAAGCTAGAGGCCTGTGATAGCTTGATATTCCTTACGTGTCCATCAGCCAGCTGGGCCTGTTGCCATACAAGGGCGGCAGTCACGCCATGCAGATATACGCCTGATTATAACCACAATGCCAGCTATACAGAGCACGCCGTGCGTTGATGGATCCCCAGCGAATGGAGGTCATATTTGGTCGATGGGAGGCCTAGGGGAGGGGGGGGGGAGTTCTTCAGATTACGGCGCTAAAAGTGTAGCACTTTCATCATTCGCTATGCCCTCACCTTGCCGACACCGCAAAACTACCAC